AGATTTAGAACGGCTCAAGCAGATCGGTGAGTTTAGAGCCCCAAAAAGGTTATGCTTTAAGGCCACTTCACACATTGCTACTCAGCGCTGAGATAACGTGCCGCCAGGAATGCATCAGTGCTGCTGTCAGCGCTGACTCAGCGCTGAGTCAGCGCAGCACTGCATGGTGTGTAAGCAAGAAAATTGGGAATCACCTACGCACCGAAACATTGATACAGCAGAGCTGATATTCGCTCTTTCTCGCGTGAGTTGAAACGTGGTGGCGACAGTGTGCAAAAAGCCCCCAACCACTTCCGGTTCTGGACTAGGCAGCGGTTTACGCAGTATCTGCGAAATCAAATATACACGCTATCTTCTGGAAATTTCCACTTATAGCACTGTCAGACTTAATTCCCTTTCATGATAATATAATATTAATGAATAAAAACAATTAGGAACTATCAATGAAGTTTGAACCGGAAATCTGCCCGAAGTGCCCCACTGATTCCGTTGCCAGACAAAAAAAGGCGAATAGCGCTGAGTGAGCTCTGTGCTGTACGTGTTAACAGGCATTTATAGTAATTACACTTCGTACATACTGCTGAGTACGAAGAATCAATGTTGCCAGTCGTCACCAGCCTTTCCCGACGTGCCTGATGGAAGATGTAAAAAACAAAAAAAGCTTTTCGTTGATGTGCTTGCAAAACGGTTCACCACTGAGCAAAGCGATATTGAGATTCGTACGCCTTAACACTCGAACGTTTGAAATGTTTGTAAGTTTGTAATGTTCGTAAGTTTGTAATTTCGAAATTTCAAAATGATGCATAGATTATGTGGGATCCATATTAGTTGGTCATGCACTGCGATCCCCCATTGGACACGCGTGCTTCATCAGCCTTCGGACTGTTCTCGGATTGAAACGGATTCGTACGAGTGCTGCGTCATTGCTCGGCCCGAACTCGGAACCAATCACGGGCTTCATACCGGAAGCGATGAGACCAGCTAATGGCGGCTGCGCATAATATATGCGTAATTTCGTAATTCAGAAAGGATCTACTTAAAACCATATACAGCTGTCGCAGACGGCGCCTGGGCAGTTCTAAGCACCGAGAAGGCAGCCCGTAATCAAACGTCACGTGACAGGAACGGGCCAATGGCCGTCTTTGTGCATCGGACAATGGTGGAAAGGAGTCCCGATGCTCGATGCATATTTTTCTACTCACTCTAGGTGAGTTGTAGAAGATGCTGAATAACTCATCGATATGTTTAAGGCTTACCTCAACGTAAGTCGCAACACACCGAGAAAAAAAAATAATGTCCGCTAGTTCACGCTCTTGCATAAACTTTGCTGCGAGCTGAGGGCGAAAAAATTTTTCCGCTAATTTTAGCCTAAAAACTTCCATGCTAAAGTTTGTGGTCGGTTTGCCTTGCTGCATACCCGACCCGGAGGAATAACACGGAGCCAACGGTTTCAACAGCAAGAAACTACATTTAATTGGACACGGACAAGACGATTAACATTGCTACCGGCGCTGCCGGAGTCCAGGCAGCGACTCCCTGTGCGCCGCCTCTGATTTGCCTTATCAAGGCGGCGCATCCGATGTGCGCGTGGCTGGCGTGACGTCGCCGCCACGCGGGAAAAGTTCGGCTTGAGCCTCGCAGTCGGGCAACTTGGCTTGGGAGCCGCCAGGGTGCCCACACTTCCCCCCCCTCAAGCTTCGTCCGGCATGTCGATGACGGAGACGTTGTGGGCGTCAGGGGGTGGATGGCGCTGTTGGGCGGACTGACGTTTAAGTCCGGCCGGCGCCTGCTGGACGAGCGCGGCGGCTGCTGACGAGTGCGGCGGCTCGGTCAGCTCCAGCTTGTCGCTTGTTCGGGGTCAGGGCTCCACCAGGTGGCTGCTTTGCCCGTGGTCCTGTAGAGGGTGGCCGCGGTCCACGATGAGACCGGCCGCCGTGTCGTTCAGATGGCGGGTGTGGCGACGGTTTTGTCCATGAGTCAGCTTCGTAGAAAACATGGAAGCAGACGACATGGGACTCAGTTGAGGGCTGAGCCTGACGTTATTTTCGGACCCCTTCCAGAAAGTTTGAAATAACGGATCTGAGGTGGGCACACAATCTTCTCCCCCCCTCTCTTGAAAAAGGGGCAGATCCGTGGAAGTATAAAACTACCCCCAAAATGCGAAAGAGGCCAAGGAGACAAAAAAAAGTTCCTCTCTCTTTGGTGTCACCGACGTCGCAGGTTATACCGCCGCCTTGGTGGAGACAAGGGGGTTTCCGGAACGGGACTGCCGTCAGTGTCGTTCCGGTCCTGCGAGGAATCTTCGTCTTCTGCTTGGAAAAATCGTTTAAGGTCGGTGACATGAACAGGTCCGGTTTCCTCACTAGACTCACAGTTAACTAGTTTGTAAGTGAGTGGCGAGCACTTTTCACGCACGCGAAACGGACCTTCCCACCTGTTGGCGAGGGAGGCTGCGAAGCCTCGAGCGGCGTCACTCAGTGGGTGAGTACGCCGGAGTACAAAATCTCCCACCTCGAACTGCAAGTCACGTCGCCCCCGGTTGTACTGTTCAGCCTGCTGTACCCGGGCGACGTCGAGATTTTCTCTGGCCTCTCGAAGGTTATCGGAGAAGCGCTTTCGCAGGTCCTCTGCGAACTTCACGTAGGGGCGAGGCCTTCCTCCAGACTCTGTAGAAAGGAGGCTGTTAGAAAGCGGGAATGCGAGCTCCTTGCCGAAATTTAATTGGGCCCGGCTAGCTCAGTCGGTAGAGCATGAGACTCTTAATCTCAGGGTCGTGGGTTCGGGCCCCACGTTGGGCGCCATTGTGGTCGGTTTGCCTTGCTGCATACCCGACCCGGAGGAATAACACGGAGCCAACGGTTTCAACAGCAAGAAACTACATTTAATTGGACACGGACAAGACGATTAACATTGCTACCGGCGCTGCCGGAGTCCAGGCAGCGACTCCCTGTGCGCCGCCTCTGATTTGCCTTATCAAGGCGGCGCATCCGATGTGCGCGTGGCTGGCGTGACGTCGCCGCCACGCGGGAAAAGTTCGGCTTGAGCCTCGCAGTCGGGCAACTTGGCTTGGGAGCCGCCAGGGTGCCCACAAGTTAAAGGGGGAATTTTTCCGCTAAATTTAGCGGGGAATCGTTTCCGCTAAATTTAGTGGGAAATGTAGCTAAAATTTTCCTCAAAATGGGAGGGGAGCTGGAGACAAGGAAGGGGGAGGGGGGAGGAGGGGCTCACCATCCCTTCCGTATTCTTCCCTCATCCTCCTTAAGAGCTGCGCTCTAATTCGGCGAAATGCAGGGAGTTGTAAACCAACACCTCCTAGAAGAGAAGGCCGTAGCGCTCCGAGCGGTTACGTCACAACGTCGGAGAAGAAAGGCCATGACGCAACTACGTGAGAAAATATCTGGTATCGACGTGAAAAAAAAAAGTTTTTTATCGAGCGACGAGGTGGTGTTTGTGCGCGCTTATCCGACATTAATATAGGTTTTAAAAGCCCAGTCTTGCACAATTTAATACACACACATATATATATATATATATATATATATATATATATATATATATATATATATATATATATATATATAATATAAATGTAATATACAACGCGTTACCAAGCTTGAAAGTAACAAATTTATATTTATGATTATCCCCGTAACCTTGGGACTACGTGCACCAAGGAAGCACACATTATTGCGCCAATATTGGCGTCAGACCTGAGAAATTGGGCCAATATCATTCGGATACTGCCAATATTGGCACTGGATCGTAAAGATCGGGGCAGTATTACCGTGATGTGGGCGATGTCGGCGGAACATCACTTGGGTTGGCCAAGTCTCGCCGACCCAAGTGTCTGAACCGGGTCGGGCCTGAACCGGCTATATCGGCCAATATTAGCAGTTCTTGACCATTTCTAAAACGATACTGAATCGCGGTCAATCGCGCCAACCAATCGCGGCGGCCGCCGCTGTTCCCACGGGCCGCGCTGACGGCGCGCCGGGAAATCAGCGGCTGGAACTGGGTTTTTCTGAACAAACAAACAGAAAAAACTATTTTTGTAGTAACTTTTATTGGAGATTTGTACAAAACGGGGGGCGCGTGATATTTTCTAAAATCTTTAGTTTACAAGGTTTGCGGCACAATTAATATTGTTTGTACACAACCATGTCTCAGCGGTGATTTCAGGTAGCGCGTCCCGACCTAACATCCTAACTTCGGCAGTTACTCGCGCCGCGTCTGTTTGGGAATCGGGGGTGGAACCCTTGAAGCCCCTTCCACCGTATCTGTTTCGGATCCAAAATGGCCGATTGAACTCAAAATAGAAGTCAAGTGCAGTTCCTCGAGTGGCAGGTGCGGGCGAAATCGCGCCGTTGCGAACGCTATTAGCTCGGTTCTCCAGTACGGATCGGTGCCACTTTTTCAGAGCATGGCTCTATGGCAGTTTCCCAACCGATCGGTTAATTTATAGTAACGTTGGCTTGGCCCAAGTCTGCTGACACCTCAGCGGCCGCGGCCATGTTAACCGATATTGGCCCAATATTGGGCCGTGGCGCAAAACATACAACTAGGCCAATTTTAAATAAAAGCGCGTTACGACTGTCGATCCGCGCGCGTTGCCTTCGCTTCGCCGCGCGCCCCCGATGGCCTTCCTTTGTGACGTCACAAAAAGAGCGCTACGGACTTCTTTTCTAGGAAGTGTTTGAACGTCTTTCAGTTTTTTCTTTGTATCCTCTCCACCTTATGTGAAGCCTAGGAATGGGAGATTTGAGGGCAATGAAAATGAATGAGTGAATGAAAAGTCTTTGTTCCCGTGACAAAGGTTTTGTCGGCATTTTCTCCTCATTCTCTACAATAAAAAAATGTTGTTTTTTATTTTTTAAATGCGCTCGTTGGCTAACTTTGATTGGGTAGAAATCCCTAAATCGAAGAGTCAGACGTCACAGGTTGGCGATTTAAGTAACCAGCTCTTGCATATCCTGGAACCTTTACCGATTGTCACGACCACTCCACTAGACCGGGGCAGGAACACCGAGATGCTTGTCTGGAAACTTGCCATCTGCCTGTTGGGCACTGCTACAGGTAGGGTAAAAATTTCAACTCCTATATCTGGAAGCTTAAAGGGACATTGAAGTGCGTTTTGTAGAAGCTTATTTTTAATTGCATATTGCTTGTCAGACTTCAACCAATAAAAATTTCCAGCCCTAGATGGCAGTTTAAAGGGGCATTTTCGGGTCCCTACCACCTGCCTAAAATTTCATTAATGCAAAAAGTTAACTTTGCACGGATTCTCAACTACAGGGAGAAACAAGGAGACGGCAGGCTCTTTAAATCAACCGCTAAATTCGGTTCCTTAACCTACCACGCTACGACTTTGTGCAGCGTTGCCCACAGATGGTGCATTTGTTTTTGTAAAATTTGCAAAGAGCGAACTTACCTGAGGAAAAAGTAAAGAAAGAAAAAGGCTTAGCTGTTATGGAAACGCAGCGACGCCACCGATCTTCAAACAACACGGCGACGTTTTGCACGAGAGACACGAGATGGCGCAACGAACGCCGCCAACGAAGGAGCATACGGCGCCGAGAGCCGGCGTCTTTAGCAGACAATCTTTTCGACTCAAAAGCCGCGCGCGTTCCGCGGGCGGCGACAGTCGCAGAAAGAAAAACGGGCGCGGTAACAACAAGGAACTGCAGTTCCTTGTCTGCTAAATACGCCGGCTCTCGGCGTCGTCTGCTCGTTCATTAGCGGCAGTTGGCGTCGCGACCGCTTGCGCCATCTCTTGTCTCCCGTGCGAAACGGCGCCGTCTTGTTGTGAAGACCGGTGGCGTCGCTGCGTTTCCATAGGAGCTAAGACTTTGTCTTTCTTTACTTTTTCCTCAGGTAAATTCGCTCTTTGAAAATTTTACAAAAAAAAAAAAAAAGCACCATCTGTGGGCAACGCTGCACAAAGTCGTAGCGTGATAGGTTAAGAAACCGAATTTTGCGGTCGATTTAAAGAGCCTGCCGTCTCCTTCTTTCACCCTGTATACTAATATTGCTAATAGACCGATGTCACCAAGCGTTCCACGCATGCGTGACGCCGCCATAACTGTAGTTCGTAGGAGGCAGACGCCAGTTCACGAGACAGCTCATGCCGCCTCGTGCTCTGCTAGCGCAGACCTCCAGCGGGGTTGTCGCGCGTGCAGAAAGACTACAGCTCCCACGATGCACGTCGGCAGCGGTGGCGTACTCAAACTAGCTGGTGAGGTCGGTCTATTCAAGGCGCGTTGTGCATTCTATTTTGTGAAAAGAAAAACGTGAAATATTTGGATGTAAGAGACGTAATCCAGTAATTATTTGTTAAACACGCCGTCGGATGGCGCGTCCAGGTGTCTGCTCCAAGGTGCAGAAAGAGGGCTATGTCACATGCAGGGATGGGCAGTATTTCAAATACAAATATTTGAAATACGTATTTCAAATACTTTGTTTATTTTGCATTTGTATTTAATTACAAATTGGGTAATGTATTTGACGTGTGTATTTAAATACTAAAACGTGGGTATTTCAAATACGATTGTAATTAAATACAATTTTGTGGGCGAAAATACATCCCTCAAATTTATTGTCACTGTCCAGAACAGAAAGAAAACTACGTTCTGCACCGAATGCAGTGTCTCTCAATAAAGCACAAGCGTCTAGTGACTTTGTGATTACGGTGCTAGTCCAGGGCAAGAATAGTGACGAAATCGACGTTCACAGACTGGCTAAATAAGTGCTAGCTGTGACAACTTGCGATGATTTCCAGCCTGATTTCCATCCTCATTTTTTCCTGGAACATTCTAAAAGCGCGGGTCGTCCAGATATTCGTAACTGGTGCAAGTTGCAACAATAAAAAATTCTCTCGCTAGTGCTGCGCATCTTGGTCGTCTCGGTTATTTGTTGGTCTATACCAAAATGTAATCGACAAAAAAAGCTGCTTGAAACTCTGTACTTTCTTCACCTAATACGTCCAAGCTTATTACATATTTTGTGAATATATTTCTATTACGTTACTATCGCACACTAACTCCCGAATGTGCGATGCAAAATTAAAATAAGATACTCAGAAACCCGTTGCAGGTGCCCTAAAGTCGCTGACGCAAATTTTGAGGAATGTATTTGGAGGAGATCAAATACATTTGGTTTTATTTGTATCTTGTACTTAAATTCTTTTTTGGAAATGTAATTAGATTTGTAATTAAATACATTTTTGACGAAGTATTTTGTATTTGTATTTCGATACATATTTGCATGTATATTTTTCCCATCCCTGGTCACAAGCTTGAATTCAATTTTATCTAAGGGAATCATCCTCTCAAGAGTGCGATTTCTGTTGTTTTCGCTGTAGGTTGCTTAGAGCCCTGAGATTCAGTCATCACTATAAATAGACAATCTCAGAATCCGCTCAAGTGCCCCATTAAAAAGGCAGGGGGTGGTTTATTATGTTCACGATCCTTGTTTCGCGATTGGTCCTTCGGCAACCTTATCGGCTAATGCCGCATTCTGATTGGCTGCGGAGCTATTATAAGATGTTCGCCACTTGCCGCAGACTACGTTTCTGAAGTTGTTAGAAACCATAGTGGACGCCATTCGCGCATGTGCAATCACAAGTCATAACGCCACGAATCGTAGCAGCTTCGCAGCTTGTGTATTCCAGACAACCGACGTGCTCATCATGTCACTCAGTGGATGTCCACTGCATAGCTCCTAGTGATTGGCCCATTCCCAATGCTCTACAATAAAGCCGTAATGAAGTCAACGTCATAGTTATTGAACTCTACATTTGGGACGATGCATGACGCAATATTGAGCCACAATTAAGCGCAAAGAAAAGTCGTAGAGCTATTTTGTCGTCGGGGATCGAGTCACAATTAAGCGTACAATCTAAGAAATGCCTGCGCGTCTACTTACCCGCAAAACACTCGAAGAGCCAATCCCTGCGATCAGCAAAATCAGCTCAGCGAATGACGAGGCGGAACATTTGTTTAGATCTCAAAATTAAGTATGCGCTGTGACATTACTCAATTCTAGGATGACGCTTTTGCACTGCGTAACGCCACAGCGCAGACTTCATTCTGAGGTCTAAACGGATTTTCCGCTTTATCATTCGCTGAGCTGACTTTGTAGATCGCAGAGACTGGCTCTTGGAGTATTTTGCGGGTAAGTATACGCGCAGACATTTCTTAGAGTGCAAAGAAAAGTCGTAGTCGATTTTGTCGTCGAGGATCGTTAAATTAGGTTATAAATGCGGTGGTCGACACGTTTTGCCTTTCAGGTTGTAACTTTTCTATTCACCGATGTAATAGAAATATGTTACATTCAAATGAAACTTTGGAATCTCCATTTTTCCAAGAGCATATAACGTTTCAATATAGTGCCCTCCGGCGGTGATGCATTTCCACTACACTCTAACAAAAGCTCGAGCGTCTGCTTTCCCGCACAACACTTGGGGAGCCAATCACCGCAGCTCAGGGTGACAGCTCAGTCAATGACGATGCCAAAACATATGTTTAGACCAGAAAACGCAGGCTGAGTTGCAATGCAAAACGTCACGCTTGCATTGCTTAATGTCACTATACTCAGACCGCGTTTTTTGGTCTAAACATATGTTTCGGCATTTCCATTTGCTGAGCTGCCTCCGTAACTTGCGGTGATTGGCTCTCCGAGTGTTGTGCGGGAAAGCAGACTCACGGGCTTTTTTTAGAGTTTACCGGTGCATTATTATCCGCATGCCGTCAAAGATGATTGCTGTCGTCTGTTATACCTCTGTCAGGCGGGCACCTAAAAGGAGCTTTACGCCAAAGGCCTTTAGGATTTTCAAATGAACGTTACGTTCTGCCGTACCAGACAGAGCAAGTAAATGCCATTTAGACGATATTTACAGCGATTGAAATCTCGTAGCTCGTTTCAAACGCATAAATCGCGTTTGCGCCAGAAAAATATTATTTTGGTGATATAAATATTTTTTTAAAGTTTTTTGTGAGCAGACAATATATTAAAGAAGAAAAAATGACGAATTCAGTCCAGTGATGACAACAAAGTCCACTTTATGCCCAAGGAAAGTGGTTTGTTTTGGCAATTAGCGGCAACCCTGGGTGTCTCGCACTCACGCAGTCCTAACGTTGCTCAGCGCTCCCGATCGTTTCCGTGCTTCTGCTACGCGTTTGCCCTGTCTGGTTCGGCGTCGTGCTCGCGTTTGAGGTTCATCGCAAGCGTCGGAGATCCTCCAGCCGATCCTCCCGAAGTCGTATCAGCGCTCAGGTCGCCTCGACTCTCCAAGAGAAGCACGGCGACCCCTCTTGACTGTTGGAGGGTCCTCCGTCCTTCGACGTATCGCACGACGCAAGATGTAAGATATAAAAATATGTATGTAAAAAACAAAACAAAAAGAACATTAAATTTGTACAATATGGATAGCAATAAATTATTAAAGGATGGCAAAATATAAAGTAGAGAAATAAAAGCTAGATAAGCATGGTTGTAAGGGAAATCCAGAGGAAGAAAACCGAAATGCCGAAGCGGACGATGCGAGCAGGCGACAACGAGGCGTACACTAGATAGCTGGGGCCCTGAGTACAAAAAACTATTAGTAGAGCGAGGTTCGTAAAAAAATATACGTGAAACACGCTATTTTTCAGTAATAATAATTCATTGATTTTAGATATCATTACGATCTTTTATTTCAATACGCTTCTCTAGCTTTTGTGTTGTCTAGATGTGGTTGTGTTGTCCCTGTTTTAATTGTTTTATTCTTTCTTCATCCATGGCTTCTCTAGTGTACGCCGCGCTGCTGACGAGAGTATACGCCTTTAGCAGCCGTAAATGAGCCGCGGGAACTCAGTTTCACGCTTAATGCCATTTGAGTTGATGTGTGGCACTGCTTAAATGACATTTACACTAAAGGTCCTTTGGCGTAAAGGTCCTTTGAGGTGCCCGTCTGACAGGGGTATTAGACTAACGCCGCAATGGAGAAGCTCCAGTTTCAATATGTTTTGCCTCATTTACCTTAAAGCCCGGACATTGCGCCACACAACGTTTGGCTGCTTTCGAAGATAAACAAGCACCTGAAGAAAACAGGGTCTGCTTCCGACGACGGCGTTACCGATGCAGTGCGCGAAACTTTCATTCGAATGTATCATCTTTCGATTCCGTCACTGAATCAAAAAGTTACCGGCAAAACGTATAGATCATTCACAGCGGAGAATCACCAGCAGCCATCAGCACCTACTACAGGAGGACCATATCACAAACTATAATCAGTGACAGCTTAAGAGTTCAGGGCGAAGGAAAGGAAGGCTGGGGAGAAGGAAGCAGATGGATTGCTGGAGAAGAGAGGAGGAAACATCCCTCTCGCTCCAGCGGTCCGCCTGCTTGCTCCTCCCCAGCCCTCCTTTCCTTCGCCCCGATCTCTTAACCTGTTAACTAACCTCCTATCCGAAGGAAAAAAGACCAATAGTTTCCAAGTAACGCACATAAAACGCGCATAATCAGTAAAATGCTGGGGTTTTGTGCGATCGTACAAAATTCTTAGACAGCGACATTGAACAGACTCTAACCTAACCGCTTACAAAATTACATGTACTAGAATAACCTTCAAATCTTGCTGAAACTAACGTGCGAAAATGGTGTAGTATTCAAGAATAATTGTAGAAGTGCTTGATGCTATTATGTGTTAATGTTGTCCTGTGTGCGTGTTGATCTCAGTCTCGGGATTTTGTTCATTGTGAAGTCTCTTTATTTTTAACGTAGTAAAGACAGTTACAAAAAGCCGTCATGAAGAATCGTCACAAAGAACCGTCACCAAGAACCTTCACAAAAAAAACTGTGACATTACGTAATATCATGACGTCACGTGACGTCCTGAGGTCACGTGACTGTGGGAGAACACGTAATGTGATGAGACCATGTGACATCGTGCACTCACGTGCCACCCTGACATCGTGTGACGCAACAGTCATGTGACCTCATCACGTCACTGGACGTCACACACACACACACACACACACACACGCACACGCACACGCACACGCACACGCACACACACACACACACACACACACACACATAGCATGGATCCAGCTCATTTGCAACACGCTCCGTACTTTCCAGTCTTTTTCAGCATGATCAAGCTAGTGTGACTCGTTCCAGGAGCCAGGATCGGGGAGGAGTACGTGCACCCTCGGATCCTGGAGGAGAGATCTTCAGATGGCCTCAAGCTGGTGTCCGTCGACGGGAAGAAGATTCTCAGGCTGGAGAAGGCGTCCGTGCTAGCCGAGACCCTACTCGTGACGTCATACGACGGGAACGGGCAAGTGACGCACACGACGGTGAGTACACGCCATGCCCCATAGGCGATTTTTCCGAACCGGTTGACGTCATGATTACCTCCAGACAATATCAAAACTAAACCAACTCTTTCTGGTGTTCTTTTGAACATGTATAATTAATTTTTTTCTTAGAGGTTTAGATAGAATCTTAGTTCAAAAGTCACTCTAAGAGGCGTTAACAGGGTGGTTTCTGATAATTTACGCAAATTCATTAAATATATATGTGTCTTTATTTTTGCCATTTTAGATTCAAGCCGAAGAAATTGAGAAGCACCACTACCGTGACCGGGACCAATACGCTTCTTTGATGGTGCGCGATACAGCAAATGGCCTCGAAATGGTAAAATTCATACTGCGTTTTGCGCCATAATTAACATACTTATTTGATCATTGAACTTCAAATACTATAATAGCAAATAAAAGTGCGAACGGCGTCTTTCATTGTCACTGCCGTTGTCACTAACATTGTCACGGAGAACTTAAGAAATACAGGGTGCGATCAGTATCAAGTACACTTTTATGTTTGCCTCGGGGTCAGTAATACTGCGAAATTAGGCGTTAAGAACACTTAAGAACAACAGCTTGAAACCCTGCGTTTCCTGAGCTCCCGGTGATTATATTTCCGCGTAATGACTTGACCCAAAGAAAAAGATTATTCGGCGTCAATAACCAATAACAACTCAGTTTCACCCAGAAAAGAGACCATTGATGTAAGATACTGTTCATTCTTTTTATTTATTTTATTAATTAAAGCGAGACCAATGAGTGGCCTTAACTGCATTGCGGACCAGTTGGCGGAATGCATACCTTAGAAGCGTGGTTATTCTCGAGCGGTTAGCGCAGCTGCTCGATGACATTTCTGAGGCGTTTTCCCATTGCGCAAGGTCAATTATGTTTAAAAAAAATGAGAAAAAAAGTACGATAAACAAATTGTTCGCTGTAGTTGCGATTGTTATGTTGTCTGCCAGAGTGCTCAAAGTGCATAAGGTTTTTATTATTTTATAAGGGACACGACATCCAGTTTATATAACATAACAGGTCTAAAGGTCAAATTCACAGCAGATCTAAAGAAACCAGGAGTGTACAACATTGCACTCATATTCAGTTATTAGTATTTCCTCCACTCTGCGATGGTAGCAGTCGGTGTATGCGCAAGGTTGTTTACCGATGACCTCGCCGACCAGTGGAACAGCAGTCGTACCAACTGGGCTTGTAGTGGATGTTTATCGGAAAGAATCATCATAGCTCTCAATATCTTCAAGAGTTCTCAACAAGATATTTCGAAACAATACCAAGTTTTTTTTCTTTCTTGGGTGTTCAATTGGAATTACATTTTAAATGATCATTCGATGTATTCAAATCCTGCTCGACTTGAAAGGTTGAGAAAAATATACTTTCCTAGTATACCACTCCACAAGACCTATGGCACGTGGGCATCGCTTAACCTTCTACGTTAAAAAAAAACACCAAAGAAAATGATTCTTTATAAAACAATACTGTAAATTTCTAAACCGACTGGAACAGTAAAATCTAATGAGTATCACATGGTGCTACATTAGCCACAAGCAAGTGGTCGCCGGCTTTTATTGTTCTCCACTTTCAGGAATTAGTATATATACTCATTCATTGAAATCAGCAGTGTTGCAAAATGTGCACGTTTTTGTCCCAAACTTATGCCGTAAAACCTTTTTGTTCCTGAATGTTTTTCTAAGAAAAAATGCTGAAAGACATAAATCAAGTCTTGTGTCCCTTCTAATCGTTCTGCGAATAGTGTTTCACAGGATTCTTGTTTTTTGGTCTGCTCCGTAGGATGCAATATTCTTCAGAGAAGTTAACAGGGTGATACAGCTATGGCGAGACAAGCGGGGTATCTTAATTTATGTTAACTTGTATGAGACATCAAACGCTAGTCATGAGAATTAGTAATATTTGGTGGAATATGCAAGTTTGTGTCACGAAATTACGGTGTAAAACATGTTAACCATGTCTCTTTGAGGAAAATGCAACGCACGAAAAAGATATCATGCTGTTTTCGCATTAACTATATCACGAACTAACAAATCTTCAAACGTGAAAACATCGCAAAAAAATTGAACAAAGGACAAGTCAAAGAAGTGCACGGACAAAGCGCTGACTGTCAACTAAAGTTTAATTTTCAGGCGAACCAGAAAAATAAACACAGAGCATAGGAAAGAACCAATAAAGACACAAAAAATTATACACCTTAACCGACAGGATTTCTACCACGTCATCACCCTCACACGTGCCTGCCATTCTCCCTGATCCTCACACATGTGAGGGTGATGACGTGGTAGACATCCTGTCGGTTGGGTTGTATAATTTTTTGTGTCTTTATTGGTTCTTTCCTATGCTCTGTGTTTATTTTTCTGGTTCGCCTGAAAATTAAACTTTAGTTGACGGTCAGCGCTTTGTCCGTGCACTTCTTTCACTTGTCCTTTGTTCAATTTTTTTGCGCTCTTTTCACGTTTGACGATGTTAAACCAACCAGCCCACTTACCGCCTTGTCTAACAAATCTGTTGTATGTCTTGCTGCTCCATCGGATATAATGTTCGCCAGACAGGGATGGTGGACGCGGTCACTCGAATCGAGCCTGTGCTCACAGCACCGCGATCGTTGGACGGATCCTTGCCCCACAGGTTGCACACCCTGGCAGAGGAAGAATTGGAACGGCTCAAGAAGATCGGTAAGTTTAGGTCCCCAAATAAGTCACGCTTTACGGCCGCTCTACACATTGCTACTCAGCGCTGAGATAACGTGACGCCAGTAATGGATCAGTGCTGCTGTCATCGCTGAGTCAGCGCTGAGTTAGAGCTGCTCAATATGGTGTGTAAGCCAGAAAAAAAATTGGGGCTACAAGATCCACGCCCTGAAGGTGGTTGGTCAACGAAGTTGTGGTTTCACCTGCAACGATTGCCTACTGTACTTTACAAAATGCCGCCGTCGGTCGCGGCACGCCGCCGCTGGTCGTATTGCCGTTTCTTTTCTCTTTGCTGCTCCTAGTATTCACGCTGCTCCTCGGGAGTCCTAACTATGCCTGACCTATTCGTCGCGGTGCTGCCGCAACAATGGAAGCAGTTGCTATACTCCGTTTCATCTTAGGTTTAAGCGCAGCGCATGTTAGGAGCCATCGGAGCCAATCGGAGGCCGTGTGAGTATCACGTGACCCTAGAGAGGGGGCGCAGCGGCGCGCGGAAAGCGTATCACAGGCCACGTCCACAGAACGGGATTGGCTGAGATAGCTCGTAGCGTCCGCTGCTTCCGGACACAAGGTCAAACGGGGTATAGGCGGGTTCTTCTTGTATACATGAAAGGCTAGCGACGTCACTCACCACGTCCATGCTGCCGTCGCCGCGGCAGCTAATGACGTCAACCGCTTTCGAAGCAGCTGCAAACCTAATCTCTACCGGAACGCGGGGGAGGGTGTTTCTTTTGCTCACACGCGCCTTTAAAGGGGCACTGACACATCAAAATCATACTTTTTTTTTATTATCCGAAACGGTTGAAAACGATGCCGGAACATTGCCCTCAAATTTCGAAACTTGGGAGTTCAGCATTTGTTAATTAAAAAAACAATTTACAAATGCCGAATTTGAAGTTCCCGCGTGATCTGCGCCAGTGCAGTGAGTCAAATTTTGCGGTCTCCTGCGACTCGACTTTCTTTGGGACCTCCGCCGTTGCCACAGCAACCCGAGGCGAGGAGGAGGTGAGCAGGCGGAAGAGAAGCCGGCGCGAGAAAAAACCGGTTTCTTCCCCGTCCAGAGCCGTACTGTCCCCGTCTCGTCGTTAGCGCCGCCAAGTTTTCCGAGGGAGCGCGAGGGAGGATACAAATCCAGGAAGCGACATCACGCCGAAATCTGATTTTTGGTATTTCAAAAAGAGGGGCCGTAGTGCGTTCGCAATTGCGTTAAAAAACATGTTTTACGATTGCTGTTATTAAATGTTATAGAAATGTCGCATACAAAGCTTCTAAATTTCCTGATTTTTAACGTCACCGATCAAAAGAAGCAAGGAGGTTAGCGCGGGAAATATAAACGCCAAAAATAAAAAGGCGCGCGCGCGCTCGAAGAAATTTTTTTTTTCGCGATGCGTTTTTTTTTGCGTGTATATGACTACAACTTGCATCGTTTTAGACAATAAAAAATAATACGATCTTTGGTGTGTTAGTGCCCCTTTAAGTTTATCATATGGTTTCGATCCTTGTTTTGTTGATTCTTATTTTGTGTTTTTTTTTTATTGAGACGGATACTGAGCTGTATGCTGTGCGCCTGTCTGCAAAACAGATGTGCTGTTCTGGCTTCAATTGTTCGCCGGGAGGTTTTTGCTTACAACGCCAACTACACGGAAATTTCCTTGGCTGGTAGAGGTATACAGCTTCGGCTGTAAAAATGGAATCGTCTATGCACCGAAACTTGGATACAGTGTTGATATTCGTTGTGTTTGTGTTTGTCCTCTGTCCCTCTTAGTCCCCTTCTCCAAGGATTATTTTCGTCCTTCCTGTCCAGCTCGCTTGCACCTTTGCATTTAATTGCATTAGAATCATGACATTAAATTGCAAGCTTCACGCTTGTTAGTGTTAGACTGGTGGCAGCTGATAAAACCTGTTTGCTCTGCTGACGTCTAACCCCTGGTTGGCTCAGTTGGTAGAGCGCTCCACCTGTAATGGAGAGGTCCCGGGTTCGAGACCCGGTCCAGGCGGATTTTTTCAGTCGCGCACCAGTCCCCTAGATGTGTTTGGAGATTTGTGTTTGTCCTTTGTCCCTCTTGTTTCCCTCCTCCAAGGATTATTTTCGTCATTCTTGTCCACCTCGCTTGCACCTTTGTATTTAATTGCATTATAAATGCAGGTATAACAACGCCTTTCAGTGGCTTGATGTCAGGGGAAGACACGCTTGTGGGTCGACCGACAGCCTAGATATGGATGCCGAGCATTTGTTTCCTGCTGCTGTTTGGGTGCAGAGCATTCATTTGACACAATGAAACTGCTAGCAATCAGTTGGGAACAAAGTCTACAGTCTAAAGTATGAATCCTTGCCTTCCCCTGACGTCACCTCTTCTTTGTCGCCAGTAGAAACTTTCACTTTAAAAAACACGGTGGTGACCGAAAGTGTGAATACAACTTCGCTTTTTTTATTTTTTGCCCATTACTTTGGTGACTAATTTAGCTATGTCTGTTGGTGTGTTTAGCAGAATTTAAGCCGAATCGAGGGCTATAAAAATAACAAAAAAACCGTCTGGGTACCCCTTTAAGCGTGGGTGTACAAGCCTAAGCAACTGGAACCTCGAGATACTCACGTGAGAAACGGTTTTATCGAAGATTTCTCTGCTCAGCTGTTTAGTGCGCCACTAACAGATTGTCCTAAAATTAAAATGAAAAAAAAAGTCAGGATTTTGAACAATCACGTTTACGAGACCTGTCAAAAACTCACTTCCGGGACGAGCACGTTTACTTCTGGTGGCGTTTGCAAGTACCGGCTCTGGGCGCCGCCATCTTGCTGCTGGTGTGGGTTGATCGTCCGATAGTCAAGCATTGCAGAGGCCTACATGGCCTCAGCAATGCTCGACTATCAGACGATCTACCCACATCAGGAACAAGATGGCCGCCCCCAGAGGCTGTACATGCAAACGTCTATACAACCGTCGTGGTGTGGCCGCGTGCTGGCGTCGCTCTTGTGAAAAACGCTAACACGCGGTGACGCCGGGAGGGACGGGTCTGCCGCCTGGCGGCGACTCCCGTCAAGCTTCGGCCGTTTGCCGCTTGGGGGCGGGATCCACCGATGATGACGGCACGTGCAGGTCTTGCCTTCTAGGTGGTATCGGCTGAACGCGCCATCTAGTGCCCTATTTGCGAGTTTTTCAAAATGAAGGTTATAGTAAGGGTCGGAGAGGAGTGCCGGTATGTCAATTGCTGAGTATGTCTAGTCTACTGGCTTCACTGATTGACACAAATTAGTACCGCTTATACGAGGGAGCCAAGAAGTTATGAGCGCGTGTGTCCACTTTATCCTGAAAACAAAAACGGTGTTCAGCACAATATCTGCGCCAGAAGACACTTTTTAAATCTGGAACGAAACATGAAACTAACCTCTATTTTGGATATAATTTTTTTCGGAATAGGTGTTAATTTCGGATTCTTTCATAACTTAAGATGTGTCTAACACCGTAATTATTCACCTGTAGAAGTTGTTCGCGGAAAGTTTATTTTGTGACATTGTCACCGCCCGTTGGCAGAAGAGGAAGACAAAGACCATGAGAGTTTCGGGAATGAGAAATACGTTATATTATTTAAGCGAGCGGAAGAACTATAATGAGAAAGAAAGATAAAAGTAAACCGTCAGAAAAGAAAGAGAGAATCACAAAAAAAAAAAAAGAGTACAATAAAGAAATCCCTACACGCGTCTCAACACTAATCAAAGTTCCGTCAAGTCATAGACACATCAGGTCAATCTCGCTCACGAGTCCTCCGTGGCCTGTCCTCGTGAAGGCGGTTGTCTTCGCCTCGATGGTTGGAGGTCATAGCGCAGACTTGGCCGGGAGCTGTGCATGGCAGTCCCAGATGTCGGAGTCCGGCGAAGGTTCCGTCGACCAGACCGCTAGACTCAGCGTTCCGCTGACCGTGGCAGCTCTTGAGCGATCTGCAGGCCGACCGTCGCGGTCCGTGCTTCGCTTCCAATTCCCTGCTCGGTCGCGCGCTCCCCACCTCGTGCTCTTCCAAATCTTCTTCGTCTTCGATCGCGGCCGCGGCGCAATCATTGTCATGAGGATCGTGACATTTCCCCCAACTTTTAAAAACTTCATCTCATGAAGATTTCTGCACGTGACAACGTCGTTGATACATGGTCGTTGTCGCCATACACGCGCACACACAGTCACTTTCTTGCAGCACCCGCGCACGTGTTCGACCAGCATGCACAAAGTCAAAACAAATCGTTTTCCACGAAGTTCACACTTCCATAATTAACAAAAATACTTTTTTTCATTTCCCCAGATACTTTTCAATCATTTCAAACCTTTTCCGTACCACTACAAGACTCACATTTGATCACTAAGTTTGCCAAAAACACGTTTACTGAAATACAAAACGAGATCCCACTTCCTTTCTTGTTGAAACAAGAATCCTATCCTGACATCATACGAAACGTACGTTCACTGTTCACATTACTTAATCTGTTTCCACGTTCCGCGTCGTAAAAAGAAAGGAAACTCCGCTTTAGACCTCAACGCGACTCATGAAGTCCGCTCCAACATTATCAGATCCCTTGATATATTCTACGTGGAAGTTCTGGTCTTGCAGCCCCAGACTCCATCGCATTACGCGACTGTTAGCATGCTTCGCCCTGTTCAGAACTTCCAACGGTCGGTGATCAGTCTGAATTCGAAATTTCCGTCCATGTAGAAACAGCCTAAATCTCTCGACGGCCCATACAATTGCCAAGCATTCTTTTTCTATGGTGGCATAATTCCTCTCTGGTTTGCTCAGCCTCCTGCTAGCATATGCCACCGGGTGTAACAAGCCTTCGCTTTCCTGCAGCAATACCGCACCCAAACACGCATCAGACGCATCTGTACGTAAAACAAACTCCTTTTCGGGATCTGGTGCCAGTAAGATAGGCGACCGCGACAAGCACCTCTTCAACTCCTCAAACGCCTCCTCCTGGTCTTCACCCCACTCGACTTCATTTCGTG